TGCAAAGAGCTGACTCATTGGAAAGACCCTAATGCTAGGAAAGATTGAAGGCGGGAAGAGAAGGGGACGACAGAGGATGAGATGTTGGATGGCGTGATTGACTCAATGGACATGAGTTTGAGGAAACTCGGGGAGACGGTGCGGGACAGGGAAGCCTGGTGTGCTGCAGTCCATGGGGTCGCAAAGAGATGGGACACAACTGAGCGACTGAACCACAGTCTCTCAATTAAAAAGGTTCCCCTTTCACAGCTTGCCCTTGGAAACCTATGGTAGGCAAGGGGAGCACAGTAGCCTCTAAGGCTACACTTGCTCAGCTTCCGCAGGCTTACCCCTGCCCTCAAGGCTTGGTGTGCTGCTTCCCCTGTGAGGGGCAGGTGGGAAAGGACAGGTGAACCTGCAGGGGCCCCCTGCTCCTCCTCTCCCGTCACCCTGGGCAGTTCTTCGGAGCCTCGCCGCAGGGGACCTTCCCCCTGCACTTCCTCACTGCAGATGTGGTTAGGCTCCCCTCAGGCCCAGTCCTCGGCGGTCCTCTGTATCCCCCTTTGGGTGTAGCGCCTGCCGCCACTGGCGGATGTGTGCCTGCTCCCGTGCGGCTTTGCGCACCCTCAGTCGGGGCCGGCTGACGTCCCCAGGTGAGAGTGGTCATCCCAGCTCTGGCCCCCTGGTTCTGCGGACGATAGCCAGGTTCTCTCACGGACTCCTTCCCACATGCTGTGCTGGAGGCCTGTGCTGGAGCCCTTGGGACCTCTTGACCCAGGTGCCACGTCCCTGTGGTCCTCACCTTCCCCCATAGGCTGGTGGAAGGAAGGTGGTGGGGGGTGGCTGATCGGGGATTACAGAGCCAGGGTGATGGGAGTTCAGCGTGAATGCCCTGATAGCTCTGTTTAAATATGTCAACTCTTAGTGTATATGTACCATAGCTTCCTTATCCATTAGTCTGCTGATGGGCATCTAGGTTGCTTCCATGTCCTGGCTATTATGAACAGTGCTGTGATGAACACTGGGGTACACGTGTCTCTTTCAGATCGGGTTTCCTCGGTGTGTATGTCCAGAGTGGGATTGCTGGGTCATATGGCAGTTCTATTTCCAGTTTTTGAAGGAATCTCCACACTGTTCTCCATAGTGGCTGTACTAGTTTGCATTCCCACCAACAGTGTAAGAGGGTTCCCTTTTCTCCACACCCTCTCCAGCATTTATTGCTTGTAGACTTTTGGATAGCAGCCATCCTGAGTGGTGTGTAACGGTACCTCATTGTGGTTTTGATTTGCATTTCTCTGATAATGAGTGATGTTGAGCATCTTTTCATGTGTTTGTTAGCCATTTGTATGTCTTCTTCGGAGAAATGTCTGTTTAGATCTTTGGCCCATTTTTTGATTGGGTCATTTATTTTTCTGGAGTTGAGCTGGAGGAGTTGCTTGTATATTTTTGAGATTAATCCTTTGTTTCTTCATTTGCTATTATTTTCTCCCATTCTGAAGGCTGTCTTTTCATCTTGCTTATAGTTTCCTTTGTTGTGCTCAGCCATTAAAAAGAATTCATTTGAATCAGTTCTAATGAGATGGATGAAACTGGAGCCCATCATACAGAGTGAAATAAGCCAGAAAGATAAAGACCAATACAGTATACCAACACATATATATATGGAATTTTAAAAGATGATAACGATAACCCTACATGCAAAACAGAAAAAGAGACACAGATGTACAGAACAGACTTTTAGACTCTGTGGGAGAAGGCGAGGGTGGGATGTTCAGAGAGAACAGCTTTGAAACAAGTATACTATCAAGGGTGAAACAGATCACCAGCCCAGGTTGGATGCATGAGACAAGTGCTCAGGGCTGGTGCACTGGGAAGACCCAGAGGGATGGGATGGAGAGGGAGGGGGGAGGGGGGATTGGGATGGGGAACATGTGTAAATCCATGGCTGATTCATGTCATTGTTGACAAAAACCACTACAATATTGTAAAGTAATTAGCCTCCAACTAATAAAAATAAATGGAAAAAAAAAGTATGTCAACTCTTAACACTCTGAGTTGTAATTCTGGTTAATGTTCTTCTATTAAGTTATATAGTTTTCTTAGCAGCTTTATTTGCTCTGAGAGGTCACAATTAGATCTGTTTTTTGCTTATGTCTCCTAGTATGTTTTCAGTGTCTAAAGGGGTAGTATTATATACTTTTTCTCTTTTTTCCCTCAATAGCTTTGTTTTGGATTTGACCTAGATCTTTTTCTGTTGCTCATATTTATGTGAAACTAATTTTCCTAAACTTTTAGAAGTTATGGCTCTATTACTCAAGGTAGTTTTCTTAGTTTTTAGTGCTCCCTTTAGTTTTTATGTTTTTGAAGTGTTAGGGCATATATTCACTTACTCTTTGAGATTTCCTGGCTGTGTTTCCCTTCCCCTACTTACCTGGGTCCTCTCTTTCATTTTTCTACATTGCCCAAATTTTTACTGAATTTTTACCTTATTCCAATAAGTTTCTGCCTACTGTGGGACTTTCTCTCAGAAGGAAATTTTGGCTGTTTGATCTTGACAATTCATGTGACCCATATTGCTTCAGTCTTTTTCAGACATTACTGTAGGGTCTGTAAGAGCAGCAGTCATCAGTCATTTATAGTTTTTTTTTCTTTTTGACTGCACTGTATCTTTGTTGTAGCACATGGGCTTAGTTGTCCCACAGCATGTGGGATCTTATCCCCGACCAGGGATAGAACCCGCATCTTCTGTATTGGAAGGCAGATCCTTATTGGAAGGCAGAACCGCTGGACCACCAGGGAAGTTCCCATTCACTGTTGAGTTGGTCAAAATGCTCCCAGTCTTGGGTGCTGTTTTCAAATTGGTTGGTCTTGCTCCCCAGGGAATACCTGTACACTGTTTTGCTCTTTCATTTCTTAGACCCACAGACACCCCATTTCTTCTCTCTGTCTTCTCCCACACAGACACCCATGCCATGCGAATCTTGTGGACTCTGTCACTTTATTGTTACTGCTTTATTTAGGGATGGGGGGGGGGTCTTTTTTGGGATCTTTTTTGTGGTTTTTGTTGCAAAGTTGTCTTGTTCTCCCATCTAGTTGATTGCTCTTTTTACATTAAGATTCTTTACAAAAGTATTTTACTATATAAACATGAAATGATAGCCCTAGTAAAATAACAAATTAGATTCTTTTATGAACAATATGTTATGTTATTCTTTAAAATCAAGTGTTGTGATTCAATAGAAAGGATAATGTTAAATTATTTATTCCCCAGCTCAGTAGCCAGTAAGAACCAATGCCTAAATGTTTCTTTCATTAAGTCTGTTCTATTGTGGAATTATATAAGTTGTCAGGAGTGGTGCAGGAGCCTGAAGCTAGGAATAGCGGAGCTGTTACCATTCCTAGGCTGGAAGCTACAATAGCAGGGTATGTGTGTGTGGTGGGGTGGGAGTGGGTATTAATACTCCCTTGAGAGAACCAATGACTTTCTTTTGAGGGACACAGTCAAGTTGAGGTGATTTTCCAAGGAGAGAATTAGGGACATAATATCCTGACCATATTGTCTTCTCTTTTCATTTTCTACTTGAACATCCTTATTGGCTGAACACAAAATATATGAGTGCCTGTGGGGTAAGACTAGGGTGAAAGGAAAGATAAGGTGCCTGTATTAAACAAATATAAAATTACCAATATACTATTTAATTGTCTCATTGGATAGAACTGTCTCAGGCTAAACTTGTATCCCCGTGTTATATGATACATTTGTGGCTTATAAATATGTCATGTTGATTTAACAATATATCCTTCCCACTACTGAAACAGAAAGACAGCACTCTTCTTACCTGTATACTTGGCTGTTAACTATTAATAGATGAGGGTGAACTTATATTTTTAGCCCTACCTTCTCTATCCTTCAAATATTATTCATTAAAAAATAAACCAAGGTATTTGGAAATAAAAGGCAAATTCAGAAAATCCAATTATTAGTTTGTGAAAATTTTAAAGATCTTTTAATCCACCAATTTATATATATGCTCATAGCCGACTATGTCATGAACTTATTCTAGTATTGAAATGATAATACTTTACCCCAGCTCATCTTTGTTGACCCATAATGATGACATCAAAAAGATCAATCATCCATGATGATTGCTTAAGTATATGTATTTCTCAGGACACCTTGGGTTATGCAGCTGGTACGAGATCGCTCAAATCTCAGTGGCTTAAAACAGGAATACACCCAATGAGGTCCAGCAGTAGACCCCTGCTCTTCACAGTTATTCGTGGTTCCAAAGTAAAGAGTGCATTGCTGTCTTATGATACTTTCATTTCATAATGTGTTTATCTAGTCAGCACAGCAGGTGGAGAACTCTGAAGGGTCTCGTGCCAATATTTAAATATTTAAATAAATATTCCTGCCTGGAAAAGGGCATGCAACACTTCCACTCATAACATTGACTAGAATTAGTTTTTAGACCCTGCCTGACTTGATGGACATGAGTTTGAGCAAGCTCTGGGAGTTGGTGATGGACAGGGAAGCCTGGTGTGCTGCAGTCCATGGGGTCGCAAAGAGTCAGACAGGACTGAGTGACTGAACTGAATTGAACTGAATCCCAACTATGCCTGGAGGTACAGTATTGTGTGTCCAGGAGGAAGACCTGGGTATTAGTGAGCATTGATAGTGTCTATCAAAGTACGAGTTTCTCTCGTGTTGCAGGAGATCAAGATGTCTTATGAACTGCCATATATATATATATGTGTTTGTACACTCTCCTTGGATACTCAGCCTCTAATGTTAACCCTTTAACACCTGTACCAAATTTCTTTCTTCCGCAGGTCAGCTTGGTGAAGATCTACCCAGAGAGCATCCTAAATTCTGAACCTGTCTTAAGATGGTCACAGACTTCACCTTGAAGGCTAAACTTGGAACAGACTACAAAAGACAGGACTCCTTTACTCTAGACACATAAGTGAGGCTTTAATGAAAATGGCTGTGAAGCACAGCAGTCTAGCAGCTATGAGAGATGCGTCCAGAAGATGAGAATGACCTAGAGATGCCACATGTTGCTCCTCTTCACAGAGGACACAGGGCCATCCGAGGTATGCATTCAATGCACGTACCCCTAGGAGTAGGACGAGGAGAGGAGATGCATGCTCAGTCGTGTCTGACTCTTTTTTTGGCCTCATGGGCTGCAACCCACCAGGTTCCTCTTTCCATGGAATTTTCCAGGCAAGAGTACTGGAGTGGGTTGCCATTGCCTTCTCCAGGGGATCTTCCCGACCCAGGGATGGAACCCACAACTCCCGTGTCACATTCATTGGCAGGTGAATTCTTTACCACCGCTTCACCTGGGAAGCCCCTTATGCACACTCCGAACAATCTCCAAATTACAGAAAATGTGTTGTTGTTAACTTCAGTTTCTTTGAGTCATCACTGTGCTTCTCAGTACGAAGAAAATTAGATCCTCAGGATCTTTGACTCTGTCTCTGAAATAATTTGTGTATTGATTGGGAGAACTGGTTACTGTATTTTTCCAAGTTCCTTTCATCATTTTTATTATTGCATAGGCTGTGAAAATATTAATATGAAGGGACATGAAGATTAATATGTATAAATCTATTTAATATATTACTTATTACATAGAAGTCAATACTAAATTGGATTTTTTGGTACTGAATCAATGCTTGGAAAGATTTAAAACTTTTAGGTCAAAAGGCGAAAATCCTCCTCTTCATTCCACTGAGCGGGGATACTAATTCCTAGGAAACCTTTTGGTGATAAGACATTTCCAAAGTGTTAATTAAGGAGCAGGCCCGTCCAAGTAAGTTCTTTGATTTTTAGTTTTATTGGAAACATCACAAACTATCTTGACAAAAACAACTTTCTTTTGCTTCCCCAACAGAATTCTTAGATTTCTGACTTGGCAAAACACAATCATTTTCATTACTTTCAGATCATTATTTATATAGTTCTGTGCAAGTCTTCCAGCATTTTTTGCCTAATGGTTCTTAAAGTCAACAGTCTGAGCAATTTGGGGAGATATTGTCAGTGTTGTGTGTTGAGGAATTAAGCTTTGATGAAGACCATTCCATCTCTATTTTTGCAGTGCATGAAGAGAGAGAGTGGAATGGTCACTGCTAGGGTGGAAATCGGAAATTTTATTTATGGGAACTCTAGATATGCACTTGGTGAGAAAAAATTAGCAACAAAATCAATATAAAGGAAATGCTGTCTTTCTAAGCTTGCTTGCAATTCCATTTTACTTTTGAAATATTAGATTTCAAAAATAATATTTTCTCATTATTGAAAAGTCAAGTGATATGCAAATATTTAACAGTAAGTGAAATTCCCATACCACCTCATTCTTCAGAAGTAACTGTCATTAATAGTTTGTCTATATTCTTTATACTCTTCCAGAATTTAGTTTTTATTTTTTGTGAGACTCTCCTCTTCCTCCTCTTCGCTCTCCTCTGATGTCCTCCTCTTCTCCTCCTCTTTCTCCTCTTCCTCCTCCCCTTCATTCTCCTCTCCTTGCTCCTCTTCCCTATATCTCCCATTCTCATTCCCCCTCCTCTTCTTCTCTTTCTGTCCTCTGAATTAATACCTGTAGTATTTCTGGTTCAAAGATTCTGAACTCTCAGAATTTTAGTAGACTGTCAGTAAATGTTTTTCCAATTGATATGTTATTAATTACTCTGCCAAGTAAAGTTGTTTCAAGCAACACTGTCTATTATCTATCATTGGTCTTTATAAATCTTTATTAATTCTGTTTTACTTTAAATTTCTTTTAATTGTTATGTTCAGCTCCTTTTTATAAGTTTATTGGCCCACAAAATTTTTTCTACAAGTTGCCTGTTGATACGTATCTTTTCCCTATTTGGTTATTTGCCTTTTTAATACAGACTTCTATGTAATGTTAATAGGCTTCCTAGGTGGCGCTAGTGGTAATGAATCTGCCTGCCAGTGTAGGAGACACAAGAGACACAGATTCAATCCCTGGGTCAGGAAGATCCCCTGGAGTAGAGAATGGCAACCCATTCCAGTAATCTTGCCTGGAAAACTCCATAGACAGAGGAACCTGGTGGGCTACAGCCCATGGGGTTGCACAGAGTCTGAGCACACAATATATATATATTAATCTGTTAATTAATATATTAACAAATACATTATATATATTATATATCAATCATATATTAATTATATATTAATTTGATAAATATTTTATCATATATTAAGTTGTTAATATATGATATATTAACAAATTATACCATATAATATATTAATGTTATATCATATATATTAATATTAGTTTGTTAATATATGATATATCATATATTAATATATTAATTTGTTAATATATGATATTTTAATTTGCTATTATATCATATATTTATATATTACTCAATAACATATATCATTATGTAATATGTTAATATTAATTTGTTGATATATGATATATTAACATATGATATATAAATATGTTGCATATATTAATATATATCATATATTAATTTGTTAATATATGATATATAAATGTTACATATATTAATATGTATTAGAGATGTTAGACTTTTGTCTTTTCTGTGTTTTATCTGTACTTTTCTCTGATCACTCTGCCTTCTTTATTTTGAAATGGTATATTTTGCCTTGCAGAAGTTTCAGATTTTCATGTGAACATATGTGTCTATTATTTTATTGCTTCTAGATATCATATCATGCTTGGAAATACCTCTTGAATTCTAAGTTTATGACACATATTAGCCATTGCTTGCTTTAGTTTTTTGTGAATTTACTTCTTTTCCTTATATGTAAATTTTGGATATAAGTCATGGATTCACTTTTCCAATTTGCTGTCCTTTTCCAGATGACTGGTTCATTGTACAAGCCTCTTCTTTCAGTAATTCATTTTTCTCTCCACTGATTAGAAATACCATCCTTATCAAATACATTTACATGTACTTGAGTCTATTTTCTTGTATTCTGTCTATTTCTGTGCTGATCCTGGGATGTTTTATTATTGTAGCTTGAATATATTTGAATATTTCAAGGGCCTTCCACTTTCCTTTGTTCAAGTTATAGACCCAAATTTAAAAGTACAATGGGAATGTTGATTTTTATAACACTGATTTACAGATTAATTTGATAAAAAAGATACCTTTAAGTAAGTGAATCTTTTTACCCCCAAACAAAGTGAAACTCATTTTTCAAGTCTTCTTTTATTGCCTTCATTGGAATTTTATACTCTTTTTCTCATCAGTTCAGTTCAGTTCTGTTGCTCAGTCATGTCTAACTCTTTGCGACCCCATGGACTGCAGCATGCCAGGCCCCCCTGTCCATCACCAACTCCCGGAGTTTACTCACACTCATATCCATTGAGTCGGTGATGTCATCCAACCTCCTCATCTTCTGTCATCCCCTTCTCCTCCCACCTTCAATCTTTCCCGGCATCAGGGTCTTTTCCAATGAGTCAGTTCTTCACATCAAGTGGCCAAAGTATTGGAGTTTCAGCTTCAGCATCAGTCCTTCCAATAAACTTCAGGACTGATCTCCTTTAGGATGGACTGATTGGCTCTTCTTGCAGTCCAAGGGACTCTCAAGAGTCTTCTCCAACACTATAGTTCAAAAGCATCAATTCTTCAGTGCTCAGCTTTCTTTATAGTTCAACTCTCACATCCATACATGACTACTGGAAAAACCATAGCTTTGACTAGACGGACCTTTGTTGGCAAAGTAATGTCTCTGCTTTTTAATATGCTGTCTAGGTTGGTCATAACTTTTCTTTGGAAGCAAGTGTTTTTTCATTTCACAGCTGCAGTCACCATCTGCAGTGATTTTGGAGTTTTGAGTTGAATGTTGAGTTTTAAGCAAGTGTTTTCTTTGGAGCAAGTGTTTTTTCATTTCACAGCTGCAGTCACCATCTGCAGTGATTTTGGAGTCCCCCAAAATAAATTCTGTCCCTGTTTCCTCTGTTTCCCCATCTGTTTACCGTGAAGTGATGGGACTGGATGCCATGATCTTAGTTTTCTGAATGTTGAGTTTTAAGCCAACTTTTTCACTCTCCTCTTTCACTTTCATCAAGAGGCTCTTTAGTTCTTCTTGACTTTCTGCCGTAAGCATGGTGTCATCTGCATATCTGAGGTTATTGATATTTCTCCTGGCAATCTTGATTCCAGTTTGTGCTTCATCCAGAAAATCCAGAAAAATCCAACAGAAAATTGGATTAAAGATTTACTGAGCATGGCCACCCCCATCAGAACAAGACCCGTTTCCCCCTCAGTCAGTCTCTCCCATTAGGAAGCTTCCATAAGCCTCTTAGCCTTCTCCATCAGCAGGCAGGCAGATTGAAAACCACAATCACAGAAAACTAACTAATCTGATCACATGGACAGCCTTGTCTAACTCAGTGAAACAATGAGCCATGCTGTGTAGGGCCACCCAAAATGGATGGGTCTTGGTGGAGAGTTCTGACAAAACGTGGTCCAGTGGAGAAGGGAATGGCAGACCCCTTCAGTATTCCTGCCTGAGAACCCCATGAACAGTATGAAAAGGCAAAAAGATAGGACACTGAAAGATGAACTCCCCAGGACAGTAGGTGCCTGATATGTTACTGGAGATCAGTGGAGAACTAACTGCAGAAAGAATGAAGAGATGGAGCCAAACTAAAAACAACACTCAGTTGTGGATGTGACTGGTGATGGAAGTAAAGTCTTGGTGCTGTAAAGAGCAATATTGCATGGGAACCTGGAATGTTAGGTCCATGAATCAAAGTAAATTGGAAGTGGTCAAACAGGAGATGGCAAGAGTGAACATCGACATTTTAGGAATCAGTGAACTAAACTGGACTGGAATGGATGAATTTAACTCAGATGACCATTATATCTACTACTGTGGGCAAGAATCCCTTAGAAGAATTGGAGTAGCCGTCATAGTCAACAAAACAGTCCAAAATGCAGTACTTGGATACAATCTCAAGAACGACAGAATGATCTCTGTTCATTTCCAAGGCAAACCATTCAGTATCACAGTAATCCAAGTCTATGCCCTGACCAATAATGCTGAAGAAGCTGAAGTTGAAAGGTTCTATGAAGAGCTACAAGACCTTCTAGGACTAACACCCACAAAAGATGTCCTTTTCATTATAGGGGACTGGAATGCAAAAGTAGGACGTCAAGAAATACCTGGAGTAACAGGTAAATTTGGCCTTGGTGTATGGAATGAAGCAGGGCAAAGGCTAACAGAGTTTTGCCAAGAGAATGCATTGGTCATGGCAAAAACCCTCTCTCAACAACACAGGAGAAGACTCTACACATGGACATCACCAGATGGTCAACACTGAAATCAGATTGATTATATTCTTTGCAGCCAAAGATGAAGAGGCTATATACAGTCAGCAAAAACAAGACCGGAGGTGGACTGTGGCTCAGATCATGAACTCATTATTGTCAAATTCAGACTTAAATT